AGTCAATTATTAATATTCATTTTATTTTCCCATTTACCTAATTTTTGTTCCATTTTTATTTGATAATGTAGAATATTATTGTGAAATATTCATGTTCCTTTTTAATTTCGGTTTTTTTTGTTAAGTTACCTTTACTATTTACTATTGTTTATGTTGAAAATCAGGTAAATAGGATTTTATTTCTAATTATAGTATAGATTATAAATTAAGAGGGCTGGTCACGATTATAATTTTTATTATATTACGAATTAAAATTAGGATTTTTATTATACTTAAACAATAATATTACTAATTATATTATAAAAAATAATACCATACATAATATTACCAATTAATATATTTTAGTTAACTTCCATTTTACATTTTCTTACCAGATAAGCCTTATTAATTATTTGACCAATAAAATATTTAATTAATTGACTATAAAAGTTTAGACAGGAAAAATTAAATATGAGGGTTTTTCTTATATATAATTATATGAAAATTTCTATAAAATAATTTCATTAATTACACACACACACACACACTTCTAATTCTATATTTGATAAGCATAATTTGTGTATGTATATACTTTAGGAAAATACTCATTATTAAAAATAGAATATAATTTAAAAAGTCAATTATTAATGCAACTTGTAATAATATAATTGTCCCACTAATTGATTCCATGCTACTATAATTCATATATTTGAAGATATTTAAAATTAAATATATATTAACTGCCATAATAATTAAGTTAATTATTAGTCACATTTATAGTACTAAAAGTATTACTTTTAATTTTTATAAATAAGATATAATAAACATATTATTAAATCAAAATAATGAAAAATAATTTGTTCACAGTACAAAATTTTTTATAATTGACATAATAATTAACTATTAATTTTTATTGCCTAATACAAATTGTCAATTATTAAATATTATTTATGGTAATTATTGTATGTCATGTAATACTAAAGTTGTTAGGTAGAATTTTTATAATTAAGGTAAAATATTATTAAATTGAAATTATTAAAAATATATAGATTCACATTAAGAAAAATCTTATTAATTTTGGATATTAAAACTATATATTTAAAGTCATATATTTAGATTAAAGTTGAAGTTATAAATAATTAAGTTTCAATAAGTTTATTTATTCCTAAGTTATATATGGTTAATAATGAATATTTTTCTATATTAGATTATGCTTATATATGGTTTATCCATATTAACCATCACTATATTATATATTAATCTTTTAATATAATATATTATTAACTCTAAACATATGGTTAATATTTATTCAATATTATTATTATGGAAGTATTACAATTATAAATTTTATTATATTTTAAATGACTTAGCATATCGAAGCAAACATGGTAAGTCAATAACATCATTTCACATTAGAAAAGTGATTTGAATCAAGGGAAGTCAGCTAAAGAATAAAATCAAAATAATACTCTATTCAAACTAAGCTACAGTACTTCATAATTTTTTTGTCCCAAAAAAAAAAAAAAGAGTTTTAATGGCAAGAAAAACCTCTTGAAGGGAGAGACAAACTACTCTCTTATTACAGAAAATGCACACTCTAAAGACGAAGAGATTGAATCGAAACAAAGCTCAACTAATATACTCTTGTCTTAATTGTGATATTTCATAATTATGGTATTACATAGTATTCACATAGGCAATACCATAAATATGCAATATTATTTGGTTACCAAATCATGAGATTTATTAATTATTTGACCAATAATTAAAATATTTAAGTAATTGAGTAAAAAAGTTTGGGCGGGAAAATGATGTAGGAGGATTTTACTTTTATATATATATAGATTATTATTATTATTATTATTATTATTTATTTAATTTAATTTCCATTTGACATTTACTTACCAAATAAGTTTTACTACAAAAGTTTTGGGGGAGAAATTTGTTAGGAGGATTTTACTTTTATATATATATAGATTTATGGAGAAAAAGTGCTATAAGTATATAACACATGGGGAAAAGTACTATTTTCCCCTTATAGTATAAGGAATAATGGTCAAATAGGCCACTGAACTGCACACGAGAATGCAATTAAGCCACTGAACCTAAAAAATTTACAATTGGCTCCCTAAACTAACCAATTTTATTCAATTTGTCCATTTTTCAGTTTTCTCAAGTTGCTAACAGGTTACCCCTCCACCTAGGATGCATATGTGGCATTTAAAAAAAATATTTTTAAATTAGTTTTTTTAATGTTTAATAAATAAAAATTAAAATAATTTATTTTTAAATTAGTTTTTTTAATGTTTAATAAATAAAAACTAAAATAATATTTTTTTTTTTTGAAAATAAAATCTAAGTCCCTGTACGATATTTTATTTAAAAAAAAAAACAAATTATTTTAGTTTTAATTTATTAAACATTAAAAAAACTAATTTAAAAATAAATTATTTTAGTTTTTATTTATTAAATATTAAAAAACTAATTTAAAAATAAATTATTTTTAAAAAAATGCCACATACACATCCTAGGTGGAGGGGTAACCTATTAGTAACTTGAGAAACTTGAAAAATGGACAAATTGAATGAAATTGGTTAGTTTAGGGACCCAATTGTAGGTTTTTTAGGTTCAGTGGCCTAATTGTATTCTCGTGTGCAGTTCAGTGGCCTATTTGACTCTTACAATTAAACATGAGTCGTTAGATTTTCTTCTTTACAATCATTACATTTTATTTTATGATTATATATATGAATTGTAATTAAACATGAGTCGTTGAATTAATTTTATATTGCTTGATATTATATATACCATAATAATATAATATACCGTATATATATACCATAAAAATAGGAATACACTAGTTTTTAAAATAAAGATGGTCTGGCAGAGACCAACTTTGTAAAATAATAAAGATGGTCTCGTGGTCTCCTGCGACACGCTTTTCCTCCTTTAGATCATTTTTTTCATGCAGGGTCATTTTGGTATCCAGTCTACAATTTGTGACCTCTCGGGGAATGCACCCACGAACAACAACAGCCAAAGAACAAGCTGGTCGCCGGACTATTTTGTCATTAACGGAAAAGTTAAGGAGAATCGGACAATTAAGCCAAAGCGGGAGCAAAAACCACAAAACACAACGAAATGACCAAAATACCCCCAAACTTAACGCATAGTTGTTGGAAAAGGTATCGGAAGACCAATTTGGGGTAGTTTTTAAAAGTCAAGGGGCCACATTGGGTGCAATTGAAAGTCGGAATGCAAAATTGAGAATGAGCGATAGTCAAGGGACTATTTTGAGAAATAATTCATTATTATATTATATATTTTTAACATATTTCTATTTTTTCTAATTTTTATTTAAATTCATTATAACATAATTTTTTTCGTGTATTGCAGAGTAAAAGACTAGTTCAAATTTAAATAAATAGTGCCACAAAAATCAAAGATGAAAGAATTTAAATTTAGATTTATTACGAACTAGTATTTGTCCCATGCGATGCACGGAAAATATGTTATAAAAATATACCCTATATGAGGTTTATTCATATATAAAATTTTTGTTATTTAATAATTATATGTGTGAATTACTATGATAAAATTATGAACATAAATATATTTACAATTAAAATAATACTTAAGGTGAGTGATTACTACAAATCTTAAACTATATTAAAAATTTAGTACATAGTATTTAATATTACAAATTTTTAAGAACTTAGTAAACTGTAATAGTAATTGAATTACAATTTTAGAGTCACCACGGATCAAAATTTTTAGACCTTTGAGATTTCTAACTCTAGATGTAGCAACATACAATTGACCTTTAAAGACCAAAATCACAATCTTAGTTCGAACATTGATTTTTTCTTTCAAATACTATCGAATTAAGTGTGTAATCAATAAAAGATGAGAACTAATAATTCGAGAATATAATCTTAATGTTACTAAGCCTACTTCACGTCAATTAAGTTGGATAGTGTTGTTGGATAGTATCCGATGAATCCACGAATAACGCATCTTTGTCTCCGTAGTCCTCAATATGCACATCAACAATCTTAAATATTAGGCCGCCTAGCTATGTCATATATTAATTTCAAACTTATGAACTTTGGGGTTGCATGCAATAAAAAGTATATTTTAAATATACTAAGGGTACATTATATATGTATGTAAGGTACTTTCAATATAAAAATAATATATTTTTAATATATTAAAAATGTATTCGATATTCATGATTCATACAATTATGTGGATCATCATTCACACAATCATTTGCCAATAGAAATTGAAATATAAATATATATAATAAATAAATAAATAAATATATATATATATATATATATATATATATATATATATATTAGAAACTGTCCGTGAAAATTATTATCATTATTATTATTGCAATTATTATTATTATTGTTATTGTTATTATAATTAACAATATTATTATGATCTTGTGAAAATTAAATGTTGATAATCACCATTTAATTTTCACAAGACCATATGGTTTTATTATATATAGGATTATATCTATATACTCTGTATATAATTATAAGGTGGTATCAATAAGTATCATGCAGTCATTATGTTTATAAAAGTGGGTCAATCGTACACATGCATTAATTAAAAGGAATGTGCAATTTAAACTAAAACGTGCCCATTAAATACAGCAAGGGCAGCATTTCCTTCGATAAATATTTATTTATAACTCAAATTTCCCTTCTAGTGTTTTAGGAGTACGAAACTTGTAGTATGTTATGTTCTAAACTCCCACCACCAAAGTTCAAACACATAACTATCCATGTGGAATGGTAACCGAAATATCATAACACTATATGGTAGCATGTATCATAAACATTTTTGTTTAAAATATACATAAATATTACTGTATGTGTTTATCATTTTTTTCGTGTGTATTTAAAATTTTTAAAATTAACGAACCAATTTGAAATATTTTACAGAATTTTCATAAATTTGTGAGAAAAAACATTTCTAAAACACTAACCTTGAGAACTTTCGTATATCATAAAATAATACTCGGTACTATATAACCTTACCATGAAATAAATGTGACATTTGATTCATTGAAAGTCAAATGAGGTAGAATAGGGTTAGGACTTAGGACGCACACCGTCTATGGAAATGAACAGAAGTATATATGCAGAACTAGCAGTCCCCATGATTAAATTTGCATTTCTAAATTTCCAAAAGGACGTATACAGGCCAAAAAAAAAAAAAAAAAAAAAAAAAAAAAAAAAAAAGCGAAGCACTAAGCAAATTCTGAAAGGTAAGATGTAAAACATGACACTGCATCCTGCAGATGATATGTCCGAAGGTCTTCAGGGAAGGGTGCACTAAACACCGTATCATAACAACTTAATTGAACCTCGCTTGTTGACCCTTCACCGCTATCAGATAGAAGCAAATTCGATATTTCCTCCGCCATCTTTGAATAAACAACCCTGTGGTACATAAATTCAGAAATGTTTTAGCCTCCTTGATCCTTACAAAGGGTTGTTATCGCTTTCTAGGTTTTGAAATTCAAAGAAACAAGCAAGTGGTAATAAATAACAATATGGTTCAAAATAAATAGAAAATGAATGAATTAGTGGACAGGCTAAAAATAATTATCTTATTTGTGAATGGAGATAGGGTTCATATTTGTTCTAAAATAGGGTGATGTGATGCCAACTTAATCATTAAAAGCTTCTAGTAATGATTCAGATTTTCATTATGCTCATTGCTCAGAGTTTTATTGACTTGGTTTGTGTGGGTTTACGGTGAAAAGATTGATTGACCTATGCAGAAGAAAAAAAAAGCCTAATTAAGTTATCTAACCTAGAATTTCTTTTATTGAACAAGAATTCAGATGTTTGATTGCAAAGCAACTCTAAGTTGGTGGGTTAGGTCCACGTTAAACTACGTTTGCATATTTCTTTTATTAATCAGATGTTCTACCCATATCCATTGTGTGTTAATATTGTTGTCTCTTCAGAGTTGAGACAAATTTCAAAACCACATACAGAAAGTGCAAAGGGAACCAGGTAACATGGATCAAAGAATTTTGTTAACCAAGTGAATGGCAGCAGACGACACAGCAAAGCACAAAGCAAGAAGTGAACTGGTTTTGGCTATAAAGAGAAGGTTATAGGAATAAAAAGAAGCTACGAGGTCTATAGGAACAGGATTGGAACACTGCATTATAGGCATTCATACATTGATTCATGGAAAGGTATATGTTCTGATGTGCGTGCCCTTTCTTGTTAAGTTTTATGGAAATAGATGATGGGTAAGGTTAGAATTAGGGGAGCTGAACCAGTCTTTGTACTACGGTTGCACACTTGCACCTATTTTGGGTGCATTGTATAAAATATTTACCTAGTCAAAAAACACAAGTTGCTAGACTATGGAAGTGAACTAGTGAAGTGTCAATGAAAAGTTGAAAAGAAGCTCCAAGTATACAAGTCATAGTCCCACAGCAAATATAATTGGTGTCATACCTTGCATCCACGGGTAGTTTGCTACTCCAAACAGCCAGAGACTCATTTAAGTGACTAATGAACTCTGCACATGCATCATTTTTCTTCTCCAGAGAATCCTGCCATTATAAATGTGCCATTCGTCAGTTGATTGCCAGGTGTAACTTCTATAACAAGGACGGGGAACAATGGAAAGCAATAAGGTGACTAAAAGCTTATAATAATAATATAGCAGAAACACATATAAAAATCATTAAACACAACTTTATATGCATACCAGTTCATTCATTGCATCATTCTCTTCCTGCAATGAACTTCTTAGAAAATAGAATGATAAATATATTCCAGCTCCTAAGTCCCAATCTTCAATCTCTGCTTTAAAGTCCTCCATGGAGGTCGTGAGTCTCCATATCTCAGAGTGCTCCCCTAAAAGGAACCAAATTCAAACATAAGAGAGGTTAACAACAATATGCATCTACAGCTTCTCTTTATTAGTATATATGGAGTCACCGAGTCAATAACAATAGTGGGTTGAATAAGCACTCATGTCGATAGTGCATAAAAGCATTAATTAAATTAATCTCAGGAATATAGTCAAGCAACTATTTCTTTTAACACACAAGTAAATAATAAACAAGATCTACCTGATAAAAAGAGAGAATGAGCAACATAAGTCATGAAAGTGGTATGTGCCTTCTGCCAGTTTCCACACTCAATAAAGTGTTCTAGAGATTTTGAGTAATCACCATAATAATTGGAATACATTGCCTGCATTTGGAAATGAAAAATCACAATCTTAATCAGATTAAAATCATGAAATCGGATACAAAATACTTGGTAACCAGAGGATCTCAAGGAATGTCCATGCTTAAAATTGGATTAAATAAATTTCAACATGAAAAGTAATAGTAGATATTCTAATGCAAGAAGAGAGAGCAGTGATACACTACTGCAACTATTAACAAGAATCATGGTCCATTGAATAAAATGACGAGTTATTAGTGTGAAAAATTACAAGTTCAATATAAGGACAGTTACTTACCAGTGCCTCATGTAACCATGGTGAAGGAATGCCCAAGCCCTCAATAAACTGCCATTGCAAATCCTGAGAACTCCAAGTTTCGCAATATTGGAAAAGGATTTCCCTTATCACGGTGGCATGTAAATATGGGTAATCTTCACGATATCGCATGTGCAGCACCACATAGATGGCCAAATGACATTGCCCAAGACAAAGCAGTTGGGAAACAAGTCCCATGTCTAAAACATGAAGATCATTAGAACTGAAAGCACCAACTGCTTCTAGAACTGCTCGTTGATGCCAAATCATATGGTAGTCAAGTGGATCATTTGTTGATGCAAAGGCACTAAACATTGCCTTTAAAACACCAAAATCAATTTCTTGATTGGCATGAAGTAGCATAAGATAATAAGCTAGGTCAAACTTTTCCTCTTTGTGGCAGTTCAGAGACTCTTCTACTGGTCCTTCATCAATGTAAATAGGCACAGGACATGGAGCTTTGCCGTCATTGAGAAGTTGTTGATATGAGCGGAAAACAATAGGCAATGAAGTATCAGGTGAAAGATGATACCACATCAACAGTCCCAAAAATCTTTTCCAGTCTATATTTACATCATGTAATGCCAAATGGATGTTGCCAGCAAGCAACTGAAGAAGTCTAACTCTTTCTGCTTCGATAAAATTAAAGTCCAATCCATTTCTGCTCCAAAGCTCAAGCTGTCTAGCAATATCAGAGCGGTTGTCTGTAAAGCCACCAGCTTGGCTCAGAAGACATGCCAATCTAACATCTCCTCTAGAAGCAGCAAGCTCCACGGCAGCATCTAGCTGTCGGCCTGTCAGCAGCAAGAATATGTGTTGTAGCTCACTTGACTCATTCAAGGAGCTCACTTCCTCCTGAACCCGGTGACAAACACTCTCCTGCAACCAATAACTGAATTCTGCTCTTCTAATCAGTGGGAGTGCCTCTGTGTCTATATCTGATGCGCTTTCTTTCCCTTCAAATATCATATCTTCCTCACTATCACCTTCCAGAGATTTTGGTTTCCCGCTCACTTGCCTAGAAGAAAAGAGAACTTTAATTAGTTCCCAGACCATTGCTTGGTGCATCAATACAATACGAGAAGAGGATGACAATCCAGGAACCTCCAGTTGCTTCTCAACAATTTCAATATAGCTCCGGCAAACATCTGAAAGGATCAAACGATCACATACAAGCCTTTGAAGCTTTAAGCTGCACTGCCCCACCTCAACCTCTTTTGTTTCATGATTTATTTCCTTGTGGAGATTCAGAGGGGAAGCAAAACAAAAATCTATAAGTTCATCCCTGACTTTGTTATTTTCATCTCTTGCCACTTGGTCAATTGCAACTTTTTCGAAGTTGATTACAGAAGATATTATAGATTCACTAGCTCCAACTGGTGCACCAGAATGAACAAGGATGCCATTAGGCCCCCATCCTACTCGAAATGATCTACCCATAAACAGTGCAGCATCAACCACATTGTGAGAAAGACTACCAGTTACAGGAGTTTGCTGCTTGGCATCCAGCCTAAATCCTTCAGCATTTGTTTTCTTTAAGAGCACCCCCTTGTTTTGTTGTGCCATCAAAATAGAACCAGGAGTGCCTGAGCCAAAACTACCAACATTGTATTCAATAAGAGCTAAAGGTGTCTTGCGAATCAATGGGGGGCTACTTTTCTGGACTGTTGCATGTGAAACATGCTGCAACTGCAATGGTGATCTTGAGGATTCTTTATTGAAGCGTGGTCTACAATGTGAAGGCATACCACTATAATCATCTAAATTCTCTTCCTCAGATGGAAACATCAACATTCGCATTTCTTTCATCTTCACGGGATCAAGCCCCAGATGAGCTGGAAGAGAATGGGAGAGGAGTGTTGGGTCAACCAAGGAGGTTTCTTCATTGATATCGGAAAGTTCACGTCCATTCATATCCAAAGGATCTTGACATTCTGGAGACACATCATCCATAGCAATATCTTCTTCTTCATCGTCACTCAAACCAAATCTGCTAAAATGTTGAACCAGGAATTTCCATTCACCAGTTGAGCTGTCAAATGAAATGAACTGTGCTCCTTGCCTCTTTGTTTTTAGTTGCAAATTCTCTAGGATTTTTCTTGATGAATCTTCAATATTTTGTATTAAGGACCTTAGTTTCAGTAACAGAGTTACTTCAGCAGGCTTGTTAAGTCCCATACCAACTGCAGGCTTGGAACTTTCATCCTCATAAACAACCACTTCGTGCCGCCTAAACTTAACAATGTGATCCAAATCCAGCCCTCTTATGTCAGTCTCCCCAATAAATCTAATACATCCATAACCAACCCTTCCAACAGTAAAATCTACAACTCTACTGCAATAACCGGGACTAGTAAACTCCCTAACAGCCAATTCGCTCAAGCAAGGTATCGTAAAATAATCAGCAGAATGTAGAGTAGGCAAAGAAGCTTCAGTCTCGGGGCAAACCTGGCCCGAAACTGCTCCATGAAGAGAAACCTTTCTTCTTTTGCATTGAAATCGGGATAAATGAAGTAAGTCAGCGGACCCCGGATCAACTTTCATTCTCGAACCCCTGAAACCAAATACATGAAGAGAATTAACACCAAACAACAAGAACAAATACATACATATACAGTCATTGTACAGGTGGTGAAAATACATGGTGAAATTGACTTGCCAATTTAGAGTGACCTAAAACCCTAATCGAGATCTCGACCCAAAAAAAAAAAAAAAAAAAAAAACCTGAGAAAAATTAACGAAGCAAAATGAATGTAGTAAATGGCGAAGAAACGGACCTATTATGAATTGAGAGATTAGAATCTCTAAGTTTGAAGCTCAGCAGTTTCCCCACTTCAACAGTAGAGGCAGCAATAAGAGAATGGAGGTTTTAGTGTGCCTCCAGCCTCCGGGCGGGCGGGAGATGGTTTTCTTATTTTGGGCCATTGGGCGGCTTAATCGATTTTTTTTGTGAGGGGAAAATGGCATGTATACTCCTATTTTTTATTTTCAACTTTTATTTTTATACTAATTTTAAGTGCGCAAATGGAATAGTGCCGAATGATTATTTTTAAATAAGTATTTTAAATTATATCAATGTAATATTATATCGAAGATATTCATGCATAGTTAAATAAATTAAATGTTGAATTTATTTATTTAAATCGATAATTTAAAGTATATAAATGTAATATAATATATGAGAGATTGATTATATTGTCTCTAAAATAAATATTTACAACTTTGTAATAACGCTAGTCTAAATACTTAGTCTAAAAATGATAGTCTAAATAAATACTACTTTTGGTTTAAATTTCTCTAATTCTTCTTAATTATCTTTTGGGTAGCATTATCATTGTCTTCATCTCCAGTACATGTTCTCTTTTTTATTTTTTTATTATTTTTTTTATTGGTAGTGTGACATGTGCAATTGGGTTACTGGTGGTATAGCATAGATGGATTCATCGTGCAATGAGATTATGGTGTAGTAAGCTTTAGATTTGCGTTGTTGTGTATATGATGTGATCTTAGTTGTATTATTAACTATTTATCTTACAAGTACTTATTGATATTTGGTAGTTGTAGTTTTTCCCCTACATGTTTCATGCATTGTGAAATGTGTGTCGTAGGTTATCATGTGAAAGTATGAAACAAAATATTAATATTTATTGTATTTGTATAAAATACTTAGTAAATAAATATATATAACATATTTTGTATTATAACTTTGATATTTAATTACAAGATAATGTAAAAAGAAGACAATGGACAATATAGTAATATAATAAATTAATAAATTTGAAGGTAATAATCTTTGAATTATAGAAAATAAAGATAATATAAAGAATGAAATTATATCTCTTTTAAAAATTTTATAATGAATAATTTTTTAAATAAAGGCATTATAGACATCTAATTCGAAATTAATTAAATGCATATGTATTATTTTTTGTTGTAGCTACTAATTTATTTAATTTAATAAGAGTAATAAATTGACGTACATACTTTTCATCAACAATAATGATATCATTGATTTTTTTTTTTAAATTTACATTCGTTGTTGAGACAATTTGTTTTGAGAGTTTGTCAATGACAATTGTTACAATTACTGTCAATAGAGAATGATAATAAATAATTCAAAATATATAGTTACAATAAATATTGTTATAATGATATGGTAAAAATTAACTTACATATTTCTTTTGAAGTTAATTCTGATGCGTAGACTTGTTCAATTGGAGCCAGTAGGATGTCAACATTGTCAATTCTTTGAAAAATGGTCCTACCGAGTTCATGTGTAATTGTATTTATGATCAATAACTTTGTACTTAGGTCGTGCATGTCTGACAATGATGTAAGAATAATTTTGTCTGATAAAAAAATAATAGTATAATATTTGTACAATTGTACCCTTATAAAAATACATAAAAAAAATATTAATACCATAACGACCTAAATCATACCAATAATGCAAAAATATAATTGAAATATTAAGTTTGGTTCTGATCTAAATAATCAAAAAATGAATAATTAAACAAAAAAAAAAAAAAAAAAAAAACTTAACCTCTTTTAAATGATTTTTAAAGTTCTTGATTTATAATCTTTGATGCTTAACTTTGAATGTTATGTATTTAGTCGGACTAATTATTTGACCAAAGTTTATGTTAAATTTTATATTATATATTTTTTTAATACATTTTAACATATTTGTATTATTGTTTACCAATTATTCCAACTCTAATTGTGATGGGGTTCGAACCTAAGACCTTTCTTATATAAATTAATGAGTAAGTTAAAAATAATAAATAGTTAACGGAATATTCCGTTACTAAAATTTATACTAACGGAATTTAGGTTATTTAAGGGAAGAAAATAATATAATAGAGGGTAAATAAGGAAAATCATTAAAAAAAATACTAAAATCAAAATAATATGAATCATTCATTTTAAGAAACAATTGTACCGACATTTTTTGTTCCAGTTAAGGGCCTAACATTATTGGCTCTTATTAGAATTTTATTTATTTTATATATATATATATATATATATATATATATATATATATTGTATTGTATGTATTGTATATGTATGTATTGTAGATTGTAGATGTAGATAGACATAGGGCAAATTTTACCGTGGATCATGGTCCATGTAGTAAAGTGGTCAATAAAGTAAGTATCATTCTAATTATACTTTAGTTTCATTGCATTCAAAAAAAAAAAATACTTTAGTTTCATTTGAAAATATTGTTCTGTTTTTCAATTTTATTTTTCACACTCACTAGTTTCATTATAACAAGATTAAAGTATTATTTTAATTATACTACAGTTTCATTTGACAATATACATTATTTTATGAACTTTATTTTGTTGTTTCATATTCCACACACACTAGTTTAATTATAATAATGCAAGTATTGTTTTAATTACACTTCACGTTCATTTGACAATATATGTTATTGTATAGTTCTTAATTTTAGTTTAATTTTCCACATACACTAGTTTCATTTTAACAACATTAAAGTACAATTTTAATTATACTACAGTTTCATTTGACAATAGATTGTTGAATGAGCTCGATTTGTTAGTTTCATTTTTCACACACACTAGTTTCATTTTAACAATACTAAAGTATCATTTTAATTCTAATATAGTTTCAATCTAAATATTCTAAAACCAATTTCTTATTTTAATTTGAGTTCTACTACATGTACTTTCAAATTCTACTCCCTTACTTTTACATCATGATGTGACAAACAATGATATGAAATTTTTATCATGTGAGTTCTAAAAAAAGTGTGTACATAAAAAAAAAAAGTGTACGTTGGCATAGCCAATGAGGCAGTATAAAAAGTATGGAATCAGTATCATTCGTGTGGTGGTGATTTATCACTATGAAGATTAGCATAATTTATGTGGTGGAGGTTTGTCACTATGAAGTTAGCATAATTGATGTGGTGGAGGATTATTGCAAAATAAGTGGATGGCTATTGTTTTGGTGGAGTTAGTTGAAGGAGTGATCATTATAAAAAGGAAACTTTCTTATTTAAAAGGGAAAATGGCACTTTTTCTCCCTGAATTATATACTTATAGCGTTTTTCCCCCCTCAATTATTCAAGTGACTGTTTTTTCCTCTAAAATGTTAAATGGACACATTTACCCTTAAAATAAATATTTTATTTATTTTTCTTCTCCAACAAATTATGACCATAATTTGGTTCAAACCAAATAAACACTATAGCAACCAAACTGAAATATTCCAATTACAATTTAGAATCGAAACTCGATATTTAGAGTTTATTAAAATCCCGGAACGGACGGTTCATGTTCCGAACTGAAAAAATAAAATACATTTATTGTTGAATTTAGACTATTTTTAAAATAAAAATAAAAATAAAAATTTTAAAATAAAAACGGTTCAAAATCGCGAATCGGGTCCGGAACCGCCGGTTCACGGTTCAGGATCTAATTTTTTTGATTCATAATTTTAATAAATTGAAATCCAAATATTGGGTTCTAGATCTGAATCATAACCGAAAACTTTTAATTCGATTGATATAGTGTCCGATTCAGTTCGAACGGAATCGTGGTCATCCTACGTATACGCAATAATTTGTTGGAGAAGTAAAATAAATAAAATGTTTATTTTAAGGGTATAAATGTCAATTTAATATATTAGGGGGAAAAAACACCACTTTTAGAATAATTGAAGGGGCTAATGTGCTTACCTAAATAATTGAGGGGGGAAAAGTGCTATAAGTATATAACTCAGGGAGAAAAAGTGTCATTTTCCCTATTTAAAATTACGAACTCTCAGGCTATTTTAAGAGACATAATTTCTAAACACTCTACAGTTCTAAATCAAGTTTATATATTGGTTTGAAAGTGAGATTTCTTCTAGCAAAGTCAGTCTGTACTTGGTTCAGCAACATCAATAATTGAGGTCAATAAAGGCATGAACGTACTATCCTGTGGAGGATGTTAAGAAGGTTGTACCCTTGTAAATTTTGGTGAACATTTAGTGGATTGGACAGACGTGAGTTGCCTCGTAGATGTAGGAGAAGTGCTCCGAACTGCGTGATCAATTTTGATGTACTTGATTTAATTTTTAGCCTTTATATTTTGTTATTTAATTCTGCTAATTAAATTACTTAATTAATTGATTCGGTAATATTTATTTTAAAATCAAGTAGAACATTAACATGGTGTTTGGTTGAAGGGAATTTAAATTCCCTTCCCACTTAATTCCCACCTAATTTCAAAGGCCACAAAATTCTCTTGTTTGGTTAAAAGGAATTGCAATTTCCCCATTTTCATGGATTAAAATCTCATGTCTCCCCTGGGATTTTAGGAAGAAAAGAAGATAGTGATGAGTCAAAATTACCCATTCCCTTTTTAATCTAAAATGAGTTAATACCCAAAATCGTCTTCGACTATAGTGGTTTTTCTCAATTTCGTCCTAAACGACTTTGGTGACCTAATATCGTCCCAGACTTTTGTGTTTCGCTCAATTTAGTCCCTCATTTGTTATTCCGTCAAATTGGTGTTAAATTAAGGGACAATTCAGTAATGTCAATATTGATATCTCTTTACTTTCAACTTGTGAAGTGTGAAATTTCCCTTTCTTGTACGAATTACACCCAGAATTACTCCCGAACCTGCAAATCAAATTTTATATTCGCAGTTTTAGGAGTAATTCTGGGAGTAATTCGTAAAAAAAAAAAAAGGATTTCACAGTTCACATGTCTATGAGTAAAGAGATGTCAATATTAAAATTACTGAATTGTCTATTTATTTAACACTAAATGGACAGAATAACAAATGATGGACTAAATTGAGCAAAAACACAGAAGTCTGGGACTAAATTGAGCGAAACACAAAAGTCTGGGACGATATTAGGTCACCAAAGTCATTTAGGACGAAATTGAGAAAAACCACTCTAGTCGAGGACCATTTTGGGTATTAACTCAATCTAAAATTAATGCTTAACAATAAGAATGGATATTTTGAATTTATACTACTTATTACCTTTTAATTCTTATGTATACCAAAAATTCTCAATAATTCTATTCTTGTAAACCAAATACTGAAATTTAAATTCCCATTTTATTCTCAATAATTCATCGCCTATTGAATTGTAATTTCATTCCCACATAATTTCTCCTCTCCAACCAAGCGCCCTGTAAATTGTAATTTGAATTTAAAACTCACGGCACAATTTCACCCGGTGGTATTATTGGACCACTTTTTATTCGGATTATGCTTACCATAACTAATTAAAAAATTTTAAAGAAAAAAACTGAAGAATTAGAGTAGACGTAATATAAAATTTTCTTCCAATGTCGAGTCCCGTCACAGGTAATTCTCGCACTAGATTACCTAAATATAGCTTTCAAAAGTGCAGAATACGCAGCCCCATTAAATCGCTTGTTCATATCTAATCTCTACCCTTCTTCATATATATATTCGCCATTTTAGCATCACAATACCTCTCTCCGTCTCTCTCTCTCTCTCTCTCTCTCTCTGCGCCTGGCCTGTTGGGAAGAGATCGATATGGATAATGGAGAAGTAGTTGAGAATGAGGAGTTCATTCTCTGGAGCGGAAACCAGCCGGAGAAGAAGCCAACGGGTGGCTCTGCGCCGCCGGCCATTGAAGACGGTGGCGGTATCGAGAAGGAGGCGGCCGCCGGAGAAGCCGTGCCTAAACCCAACACCGCAGGTAATTGGCAACTTACTCCAACCACATATATCAATACTCTGTTGGTCCCTGTACGCCCCTTCTCTCTCTCTCTTTTTTTTTTTATGAAAACCTCATTTTTAGTTCTTTTCTGATCTTTATGATTTATACTTTTTACAACATTTAATTGTGGTAATTTTAAAGAAAAAAGTCTTCTCGTACATCAATTTTTTTTTGTTTAATCAATGGGACTGAATGAAAAATGATTTAGAATGATTGGTTCTATCAGGGGTGAGTATCCGTTGGTTTCGGTCTATTTCTAATTAATAAATTCTAATTAATAAATAAAATACTCAAAATTTGAAATGAACCTTCATAATTGACTAAAAATCGATTGACCAATTTTCATAACTGATATAATAAAAATTGACGGTTTTTGGTCCCGATCAGGTAAATATAATCAATTTTTTTTTTGAAAGTATCAATTTTTTTAAATAAAATAGCTGAATTTGTTTTATTTATTTGACTAGCTAATGCTAAATGACTAAATTATTAAAGGAAAAAAAAACATCTTAGTATTTATAATCAATTTAAATTAATGTCATCAACCCCTCTGAAGTACAATAGTATTTTAGTCAGATATAAATTAACTATTTTTAAATATTATGTGGTTAATAAATGCAATGCAATTCGATAAGCGATTAAAATTAATGTGATAGACTATGGACTTGCAAAATATAAATGAGATGAAGTTAAATTTTTTTTTTCTCTAAATTAATTTTTGATTTTCTCTTGAAAAATCGATAATTGAATCTTTCACCTTAATAACAGAAGCGGAACCAAAAATTAAAATATTTGGACGGTTCAGTATTTTTTCTCACCCCTAGTTCTTTTTATGTTTTAATTTCGTTCATCCAAATTCAAATGTAAAGACGTTGGCTCAAATACGAATCTCTATTTGAACTCAAAATGGTAGATTTACAAATTTTCAACTATTTTATCCTTGTTATTGTTTATTGGTCAGACTAATTTTTTAAAAAATATATTTTATACTCCATAATATTTAGGCTAAAGTGTCATCACACACCATGAATCATTTTTTATCATTCATGTCGCACCATGATTTTTAGAGTCATAAATCATAATTTTTTTTTTCGTCTAGAAATTTTTTATTAATTTTTTTCGATATTTTTCTTCTTTTCCCATTCTCGTTTCTCCGATACCAAACTCCGCAGAGCAGACCTAAACAAAGCAGGCCTGATCGGAGAAACGAGAAGCGAAAAACGCATAACAGACCTATACGTTTCGAAAAAAAAAATACGAAAAAAAAATATGAAGGCGAAAAAAGAAAAATACCCAAAAAAATTAATAAAAAATTTCATATGAGCAAAATATTATTGCTGGTAACCTGTAGAACCTGTAAAAATTTATATGGTGCAGCATGAATAATCAGAAATGTTTCATGGTGTGAGATGATGACACTTTAGCCTAATATTTATAGTTTGTTTTTTTTTTTAAAATGTTATTTAAAAATATAAATTTTAAATATATAAATTTTATACATTAATACTCAATGAAATATGATATAAAATTGAATTGTAAATAATGTTGGAAAAATTAGCTTAAAATGGCATAAAATGGCATATTAAGTGGCTATTTTGTGGTACAATTATCAGTGGGGTCCACTTCCGATTTGGGTCGGGTCAAAGTGGATTCGGGTTCTTCGTAGTGAGACGAAGAGATTGATATATTGTACGCTCAAAACGGATAATGGGTGAATGAGATATTGATTCTCAAAGTAGACCCATTTAAGTTGGGAAATGAAGGGAAAATGTAGGACTTTGTCCCACATTGGTTTGGAAACAAGATTTGCCCCCCTTATATACATGAGCTCTTTTCAAGCTTGTAGAATTGTATAGCATAGAGGCTCTCTCTCGCGCGCGCGCGCGCGGGGGGGGGGGGGGTGCAAATCAAAATCCAGCTAGAGGACATCAAAAAGGCTTGAAATCAAGCCCGAGCTCGCGTGCGCCGGCACCTGCGGGCACGAATGTCGTCCGAAAATGGGCTGGCCTTGCGGGCTAAGTTAAACTCATCTGTTACGGAATTAATACTGTTTTAATTCCAATTTTTAAATTCTGAGTTTAATCCTACTTAGTGGTGACCGTTACAGGTGTTACATAATTGATTTTAACACCAATTTAATGGCCATGTTGAATGCTATCACTCCAACATCCCTATATAAAGAGAGGTAGAAGCAGTAGCATTTTACACAGTACAAAAACGAAAGGAATTCCAGTAGCTTTCAGCTTCCCAAAACTCTGCTTCTACTCTCTTCTTTACCAACTAGTGTTCTCTACTTTGCTTTGTTTGCCGGGTTCCTTGTTTAAGTGCTTAAACAATGAATCGTAGCACGTTTTATCCTGGTAAACCTAGGCTACAACGCTCCTAGCACTTGTGGGAGGTAGCAAATAAGGTTTTAAGGAAAAGAACCTTGTGTTCGAACTCGTGCTAAACCTATACCCAAACACTCAACCTTTTCCTTCCCAATTTTCTGTTTTTCCCATATAATATTAATTTTTCCGTAGGATTATTATTATTTTCGGGAATTTTCAACCATATTATCCAACAATCTTAAAACCTTATATCCGTTTCCCGTTGGTTGTTCATCTCTAATTTCCTAGAAGAAATGAAGAATCCAGTTTTGCCAGCTCTCGGGGAGGAGAATGTTGTTGAGAACAACAGTGGTGGGAATGGCAATAATGTTGCTAATTCCCAGGCTATACCAGTGAACGTTGGTTCACAAGATGGTGGGAGCACTGAGGGATATATTCCCATGACTCGGGTACCGGGGTACCTACGGTACCCAGTGGTTCGGCCGAAAGACCGGAGAAATTCACCAGTATTGGATCGAATTTCAAAAGGGGGCAACAAAAGATGTTGTTCTACCTAGCAACTCTCGGCTTGGCGAGATTTTTGACCGAGAAGGTTCCCGAACTAAGGGAACAGGATGCCCAATCCGTGATGGCAGTTGGCTATTGGAAGGATTCGGACTTCCTATGCTGAAACTATATCCTAAATGTATTGTGTGATGCGTTATACGATGTATATCGCAAGATTGGCACAGCGAAAGCGCTGTGGGAAGCTTTGGATCATAAATACCGAAGTGAGGATGCCGGCGCAAAGAAATTTGTGGTTGGCCGATTCCTTGACTTCAAAATGGTTGATTCCAAAACCGTGCTAAGTCAGGTTGAAGATTTACAACTAATCTTTGATGAAATCCGTGACGAAGGCATGACGTTGAGTGAAGCGTTCCTAGTGGGATCTGTTATCCACTTGCTGCCTCCAGGGTGGAAGGACTTCAAGAATTACCTTAAGCATAAGCGAAAGGAAATGAACCTGGAGGACCTGATCCAGCGACTCCGAATTGAGGAGGGGAACATGACGAATGATGGAAGAAATTCTGTCACTATTGGTGCTAAAGCCACTGTTGTGGAGCATGCTAAAAACTCCAAGAAGAACAAGAAGGACAAGCAAAAGCTAGGTCCGAAAGGAGGCATTACCAAGAAGAAATTTCATGGAAAATGCTTTAATTGTGGCAAGACTGGCCACAAGTCCTCTGAGTGCAAAGTTCCAAAGAAGAAGAACAAGAGTTCTGAAGCCAACATGGTTGAGGAAAGCAATCAGAAGGAGGTCGAGATTAGCCTTTCGGCTATGGTGACCGAGGTGAACCTCGTGGACTCTAACCCACGAGAGTGGTTCATCGACACTGGTGCAACAAGGCACTTGTGTTGCAACCGAGAAATGTTCAACACCTTTGAGACCGTTGAGGGCGAGAAGGTTTGGATGGGAAACTCTGCTCAGTCTGCTATGGAAGGCGTGGGCAAGGTGGTTCTGAATATGACTTCCGGGAAGGAACTGACGTTGAACAACGTGCTGTATGTTCCAGAGCTGAGAAAGAATCTGGTGTCTGGCTCACTGTTGAACAAGCATGGCTTTCGCATGGTGTTCGAGTCAGACAAGGTTGTTTTGTCTAAGTTAGGAATGTTTGTAGGCAAAGGTTATGTAACTGATGGGCTTTTTAAGCTCAATGTAATGCCTATTATCATGAATAAGAGCAAAGTTAATTCCGTTTACTTGCTTGAGTCTTCCAATTTGTGGCATGGTAGACTAGGTCACGTTAATTATAATTCTATACGTAGATTAATTAACATGGACCATATTCCTAATTTTCAAATTAACACAAATAACAAATGTGAAATCTGTGTTGAGGCAAAATTAACAAAAGTACCTTTCAAATCGGTTGAAAGGGAAACTGAACCACTAGAATTAATCCATAGTGATTTGTGCGATTTTAGATCGATACAAACGAGAGGTGGTAATAAATATTTTATCACGTTTATCGACGATAGCACACGTTATTGCTATGTGTATTTGCTTAAAAGCAAAGATGAAGCCTTGGAAAAATTCATTCTTTATAAGAATGAAGTTGAAAACCAACTTAATCGTAAGATTAAGAAAGTTAGAAGCGATCGAGGTGGTGAGTACGAAGCACCTATTGGTGACTTCTGTGCGAGTGTAGGTATAATACACGAGCGTACTGCACCTTACTCACCTCAATCGAACGGTGTTGCCGAATGAAAGAATCGTACATTGAAAGATATGATGAATGCGATGCTTATAAGTTCGGGCTTACCTCAAGACGCGTGGGGTGAGGCTATTTTGATAAGTAATTACCTTTTAAATAAGGTACCCCACAAGAAGCTTGATAAGACTCCTTATGAGCTGTGGAACGGTAGGAAACCTTCCTACCGGTACCTGAAAGTGTGGGGGTGTCTTGCCAAAGTTTTGGTGCCAACACCTAAGAAAGTAAAGATAGGTCCTAAGACGGTGGACTGTATCTTTATTTGCTATGCACATAATAGTAGTGCTTATCGGTTCTTAGTACACGAGTCCCATAATCCGGACGTACACGAGAACACGATAATAGAATCAAGGAATGCATCTTTCTTTGAAAATGTATTTCCTTGTAGGTCCAATGAGTTCGTCAAAACGAACGTTTGACGAAGCTATGGATAATGATAGTGGGGAATCCGAGAGAGAACCCGAGCTCGAGCCAAGACGCAGTAAGCGGGCGAGAGTTGGAAAATCATTCGGTCTTGATTTTCTAACTTACTTGTTGGAGTATGATTCGAGTACTCTAACTTGTTTATTAGAAAATGAACCCGATTTTCTATCTTGTTTGATAGAAAACGAGCCTCGAACGTACGGAGAAGCCGTGACTTCTACAGAAGGACCAATGTGGAAAGAGGCTATTAAAAGTGAAGTGGATTCTATTTTACAGAATCACACTTGGGAACTTGTTGATCTTCCTCCGGGTAGTAAACCCTTAGGATCCAAGTGGGTCCTTAAAAGGAAGATGAAACCCGATGGTTCCATCGAGAAGTATAAGGCTAGGCTTGTAATCAAGGGTTACAGGCAACGCGAGGGCCTTGATTACTTCGACACGTATTCTCCCGTGACGAGAATAAATTACATTAGAATGATACTTGCTATAGCCGCGCTGCGGAATTTGGAAGTTCATCAAATGGACGTTAAAACCGCTTTCCTAAATGGCGAACTAGATGAGGAAATCTATATGGAACAACCCGAAGGGTTCGTGGTTCCGGGCCAAGAAAGGAAAGTGTGTAAATTGGTTAAATCGCTATATGGTTTAAAACAAGCGCCTAAGCAATGGCACGAGAAGTTTGACCATGCGATGTTAACTAATGGGTTTAAAATAAACGAAAGTGACAAATGTGTCTACGTTAAGGAAACGATAGACTGTTATGTCATTCTTTGTTTATACGTAGATGACATGCTCATCATTGGTAATAACGATCGAATGATCAAGTCTACCAAAAACATGTTAAATACGAGATTTGACATGAAGGATATGGGTTTGGCTGATTTAATCCTCGGGATTAGAATCATTAGAAGACCTGATGGTCTGGTGTTAAGCCAATCACATTATATTGATAAAATCCTTGAAAAATTTAACAAGGATAATCATCAAGGGACTAGGACGCCATTAGATCGAAGCGTTCATCTAACCAAGAACCACGGAGAGTGTATTTCTCAAGTAGAATATGCTCGGGTTATTGGTAGTTTGATGTATCTAATGAGCTGTACTAGGCCGGATATTGCCTTTGCGGTTAGTAAACTCAGTAGATATACGAGTAACCCCGGTGCCATGCACTGGACAGCAATAGTGAAGGTTCTGAGATACTTAAGGTATACTCGAGACCTTGGACTGCACTATGGGAGATATCCTGCTGTACTTGAAGGGTATAGCGACGCTAGCTGGATATCCGATATTAAGGACTCCAAGTCCACGAGTGGCTACGTGTTTACACTAGCCGGTGCAGCCGTTGCATGGAAATCCTCTAAACAGACCGTGATAGCTAGATCCACGATGGAATCTGAGCTGATAGCCTTGGACAAATGTTGTGAAGAGGCTGAATGGCTACGCCATTTTTTAGAGGATATTCCTAATTGGGAAAGACCTGTACCTCCAATGTGTGTGCATTGTGATAGTCAAGCTGCAATTGGACGAGTACAGAATCATATGTATAATGGTAAGTCTAGACATGTGCGTCGTAGACATAATACCATTAGACAACTTCTCACAACTGGTGTTGTCTCGATTGACTACGTAAAGTCAGAAGACAATATAGCGGATCCGCTAACCAAAGGGTTATGTAGAGTAGCTGTGGAGAAGTTGAGACGAGGAATGGGTCTAAAGCCCTTGGTATAAAGTTCTATAGTGGACACCCAACCTAGCTGGCACCTAGGTTCAATGGGACAACTAAATTATGGAACGGAGCGTGTCACTGTGGGGGTCTCGGATCCCCTACCACTCCTCGTTAGAAACAGTGACTCCCGCACAAGGTTAGCATGTTAAATGCTTTAGTGATTCGAATGTCGGTTGACATATGTGAGTATGCGGGATACTCGGGATAGAATCACCTATGTGAGAGAGAAGTAAGGGTCGCTTCAAAGGAGAATTGACGGGCACAATTCTTCACAAACTCTTGCAGAACCAGGAATGGTGACCCACGACCAAAAAGGGCACAATCATGAGAACAAAGCATGGTTGGGAGGTTCCTGTGTGAGATATGTCATCGTCTACACAAACGGCAGTCGGTTCAAAGACATCGCGCTCTACCGTACAGCTAGTAGAGTAAATGTATCTTCACGAGGGAAGGTTCAAAGGGTGTGACCCTACCTATCCTATGCAGGGATCGACCGTTGAACACAGTTGTTTCCGTTTAAAAACTACCCCGAAAATCAATTTTCATTCATGTGGGGGATTGTTGGAAAAATTAGCTTAAAATGGCATAAAATGACATATTAAGTGGCTATTTTGTGGTACAATTATCAGTGGGGTCCACTTCCAATTTGGGTCGGGTCAAAGTGGATTCGGGTTCTTCGTAGTGAGACGAAGAGATTGATATATTGTACGCTCAAAACGGATAATGGGTGAATGAGATATTGATTCTCAAAGTAGACCCATTTAAGTTGGGAAATGATGGGAAAATGTAGGACTTTGTCCCACATTGGTTTGGAAACAAGATTTGCCCCCCTTATATACATGAGCTCTTTTCAAGCTTGTAGAATTGTATAGCATAGAGGCTCTCTCGCGCAGGGGGGGGGGGGGGTGCAAATCAAAATCCAACTAGAGGACATCAAAACCCGAGCTCGCCGGCACCTGCAGGCACGAATGTCGTCCGAAAATGGGCTGGCCTTGCGGGCTAAGTTATGCCTAACTTCGGTATCATTTTTCATCTGGTACTCTCGTGTGTAGCACGAGAGGTTGTGGTGCACCGAGAGCACAACTCTCGTGCATCTGTAACCACGAGAGTAGTGCACTCTCGGGTTGCACCACAGTGCACACGAGAGGTTGTGGTGCACCGAGAGCACAACTCTCGTGCATCTGTGACCACGAGAGTAGTGCACTCTCGGGTTGCACCACAGTGCACACGAGAGATGTACTCTCGTGTTGACTGGTCCGTGTGCTCTCGTGTGAACCTGCAACCCAACGGTCTGAAACCCGAAAGTGCAGAAGATTAAACTCATCTGTTACGAAATTAATACTGTTTTAATTCCAATTTTTAAATTCTGAGTTTAATCCTACTTAGTGGTGACCGTTACAGGTGTTACATAATTGATTTTAACACCAATTTAATGGCCATGTTGAATGCTATCACTCCAACATCCCTATATAAAGAGAGGTAGAAGCAGTAGCATTTTACACAGTACAAAAACGAAAGGAATTCCAGTAGCTTTCAGCTTCCCAAAACTCTACTTCTACTCTCTTCTTTACCAACTAGTGTTCTCTACTTTGCTTTGTTTGCCGGGTTCCTTGTTTAAGTGCTTAAACAAGGAATCGTAGCACGTTTTATCCTGGGAAACCTAGGCTACAACGCTCCTAGCACTTGTGGGAGGTAGCAAATAAGGTTTTAAGGAAAAGAACCTTGTGTTCGAACTCGTGCTAAACCTATACCCAAACACTCAACCCTTTCCTTCCCAATTTTCTGTTTTTCCCATATAATATTAATCTTTCCGTAGGATTATTATTATTTTCGGGAATTTTCAACCATATTACCCAACAAATAATCCCGGCCATTAATACAAAATGAGAATTTTTGGGGGTAGTAACCAGAACTACTACTGTATATACGTGATTCTCGTGAGAATTGATTCCAAAGCTTATTGGCAGCCATGGCAGATCTCAGTCTAGAGACGAGAGATATTTATTTTTAATGATTTTTATTTTTTCTACTAGAATCACTGTCTCACACACACACAAAATTACGGAGTACTGTAAAAGAAATTTAGCAAAATAAAAAGAGTTGTACTAAGTGTATTCTCATGTTTTCTGGGGAGGTAATCAATGTGCATATTTCTTTGTAAACTTGGGGCAAAGTAATGCGTGGGGTATTTTGATTTTAGACCACCGGTGTCACGGTTTTGTTGAAGAAAGATACTAAAGAGATAGCTACTAGAAGAGTTTATTAATCTTGAGGTTCCAACTCCATTGACGCACCAAAAAGAATTATGTGTACTTTCTCACTTTTACTCATAATGTGACATATTTTAATTATGTGAGTCTCAGAACAAATGTTAATATCAAGAATTTATGAGAGGAAGTATAATATTAGGAGTAAAAAGTGAAAGTTAGTATGTTTGGAATAAAAGAAGATAAAAAAAAGGCAACCATTTCCATTCTTCTAAAAGGCTGAACCCCAACCAAGACAACCATTTCCATGTTTTGATGACTGATCATCAGGTGCGTTGAAAGGGATGGCAAGATCAGAGTTGTATGAGATCTGTGCAGCCAGTCGCTGGAACCCACCAGTCTTTGACTGTTGCAGTGAGGAAGGTCCAAGTCACCAGAAAACGTAAGTTGCAGGATTTACTCGGTACACACTTTTAAATAGTAATTATATTTTTCTCATTACTTAAAAATAATTACGTTTTCCTCATTACTTAAAAAAATATGAAATTTTGTGAGTTTAAGGTTTTGGTTGAATTGTGTGTGCGCTAACCTTAAGAAGATGTTGGATGGATGTGTGGGTGGCAGGTTCAAGTTCAAGGTAAGGGTAGAGATAAAAGGAGAACATAAAGCGACCACTTTGGTGTGTTTTAGCAACCCGTTTCCGATGAAGAAAGCGGCGGCAGAGAATGCAGCTGAAGGGGCACTCTGGTTCTTGAACCATCTTGGTTATCGCTCAAAGAATCAATGAAAAAAAGAAAAAAACATTCTGGATTTTCTGTCAGTCTGGAGTGCCAATTACAATAAAATTGTAAGTGTAAAATATTTTATTATTATTTTTTTAATTAGAGAACAAAAAATTTACAATCTTTCTTTCCTCAAATACTATTTATTGAATAACTAAACTTGTGCGGGCAAAAATTTACTATCGCTTTATAGAGCTTGTGATACAATCAAATTTATCCAAACCAAAAATGGACAAATATTAAAATTTGAAGTCTTTAGACATAAATTGTAAAATATGGCACAAAATTTAAACTTGAACCCAATTACCTTATCCTACTAAAATATATATGCTTCGAAAAATTCTTAATGAGTAAGTTTTTGTTATCGTGACATTGAGTCAGGCGAAGAATTATTGTTCTAAGCTGGGAACGATAATATATCATATTTAATTGTATTAGATAAGTTGTATCTATAATTTGGCAGCAGCCGAAGTAGAATCCAGAGCGTCGCCTTTGTTTCTGCGAAGAGCTTTCATGTCGGAAGATCCGAGGCTGCTCCAAGAAGACATCATTTCATCATCATCGCGATCACTCCTGGCAATGGTTCTGGATCGCGTTAGCCGCCGCCGGCGTCCAAAGCATCCATTGCTCTTCGGGGGCGGCGCGTCGGAATCCGACTTAGAGGAACCATTTCTGCGAAACAACAAGCCGCCGCAAGTAGAAACCTTTTCTGTGTTGTTTTGAGGCGTCGGGAATTCCGCCGGAACCACGCCGGGGGAAGAGGATTCCGATGCAAGAAGGGACTGAAGTCTGCGGAGGGTGTGTTGGGGCACGACGTAGAATTTCTGGCCAGGCATGAGTGTGGTTTCCGGTTCCACGACAGCCGCCGCCCACGGCTGCCGGAAAATGTTGGGATGGGCTACACAGCTTCTGGGATTTCTGTTGAGTATCTCAGACGCAAGAACCGGCCTGTCGTGAAGCTCAACATGGCCGCCTGGATGAACAATCCTCACAAACGCAGTCTTGCCGTTACTAAAGCAGATCCATCTTTGAACTTCCATGTCTTTCCGACCACCGCGATAATCTGACAATTTAGCAGAATACTATATAATATATATGGCGCCAATGTTTCTATTTCCAATAAACTAATCATTGGAAATACCGCAATAACAGCTGGATGTTCCGAGAATATTTCTCAAAGGACCGGGTTACGTTTTCCTTCTAGAGTTCTAGTGACCGATTTAGAAAAATTATTTGAGCGGGAATGAAGATTAAATGATGTTAGAATACAAAATACATTATAAATTATAAAGAATGTTTTTTGATAGATTATATAATAGTTAAGATTGAAATACTTATGACAAAATATGAAACATAATCAATTGGATAAAATAATTTCAATAACACTATATTCATAAATACATTTTTAATTTTAATTTCTTTTACTTAGATTAATTTTTCTAAATTAATTCGAATACAATAAAGTATAATATAAACTTGTATACTACATTAATTAAAGAGTTAATACCTAAAATCGTCCTTGACTATAGTGGTTTTTCTCAATTTCGTCCTAAACGACTTTGGTGACCTAATATCGTCCCAGACTTTTGTGTTTTGCTCAATTTAGTCCCAGACTTTTGTATTTTTGCTCAATTTAGTCCCTCATTTGTTATTCTGTCCATTTGGTGTTAAATAAATAGACAATTCAGTAATTTTAATATTGGCATCTCTTTACTCATAGACATGTGAACTGCGAAATCCCTTTTTTTTTAACGAATTACTCCTAGAATTACTCCTAAAACTGCGAATATAAAATTTAATTTGCAGGTCCGGAAGTAATTTTCGGTGTAATTCGTACAAGAAAGAGGAATTTCGCACTTCACAAGTTGAAAATAAAGAGAGATCAATATTGACATTACTGAATTGTCCCTTTATTTAACACTAATTTGACGGAATAACAAATGGAGGACTAAATTGAGCGAAACACAAAAGTCTGAGACGATATTAGGTCACCAAAGTCGTTTAGGACGAAATTGAGAAAAACCACTATAGTCGAGGACGATTTTGGTATTAACTCATTAATTAAATGACTCATAAAAAATAGACTAAAAGAGTATTTAATTTGTTAATTTAATAATTGAGTAAAAGACATTTTTAGTCCTAAACTTATAGTGGCACAAACAATTTTAGTCCTCCATAAAAAAATCAGACAGTTTATGGACACTCTTATTATGACGAGGACAATTTTGGTCCTTCGTCTGCATTCCTGTTAAATGACCGTTTGAGATGAGGGTATTTGTGTCATTTCATGCTATCTCCTTCTCTTTATTTCATCTCATCTCAAACGTCTAGTTTGATCCAATAGATCTGCAATACGGTGCGTTTGGACTCCTGGAAGCAGCGGAGGAATGCAACTGAGACAGCTGGAGAATAAGAGGAAAGAGGGGGAGAATGTAGTTGATGACCAACTCAAAAAGGGGAAAGTGATTTCACCTGAGTCCAGTTCAAACACATCTTGATTCCTGACGCAGACAAGCATTTTCGTTTTGTTGGATGCAATCATACTGTAAAAACTTCATCTTTCAAGCATCAAAATCATGGTTTTAAATGTTTACCATAAATAAGGTCAGGATAGTTTCAACTGGTGCTATCCCGCCTCTTGTGGAGCTTTTGAAGTGTCAAGATGGTCATTTGCGGGAATTGGCGCAATTTGCATTGTATATCGAAGATTGATTGAATTTTGGCTTTGAGACTGACGGAGATGGAATAAAGAGGAGTAGATGTCATGAAATTACACAAATATCCTCCACTCAAACGGCTATCTAACTGGAAACAGACGGAGGACCAAAATTGTCCTCGTCACAATAAGAGTGTCTACAAATTGTCTGATTTTTTTATGGAGGATTAAAATTGTCTGTGTCACTATAAGTCTAGGACCAACAATGTATTTTATATGAGTTTTTTGCACTTTTGGTCCCACGACTATAGTGGCACTATTAGGATTGATCAGCGACTTTCAAACCTTGCAATTTAAGTCCACGACTATTGTTTTTGTTGCAAAAATGGTCCTTCCGGCCAATTTTTCGTCAAAATCTCACCGGAGAAAAAAATTCTTCATTGCAAGCAGGGATAAAATAGACATTTACATTGACCTTGAAATCTCGGATCGCTGTTGACCTCTTATTTTGACCGAAGTGCGAAAAAAAAAAAATTGCCAGAGACGAACCTTAATCTACTCTCATCTCATCAACCCATCTGCGAACAAGAGGAAAACATCGATTGCCATCTTCAACACGCCATCCATTGTCGATCTTCATCGTCTTTATTTTGAAGGAAAACATAATGACTACATTTTTTATGAGATGAGAGCAGAGTATGGTTTGTCTTTGGCAATTGAGTTTTTTTTTGTTTGATTTTTTCGCACTTTGGTCAGAATAAGAGGTCACCAACGGTCCGATCGAGATTGCAAGGTCAATGTAAATGTCTATTTTATCCCTGCTTGAAATGGATGATTTTTTTCTCCGGTGAGATTTTGACGGAAATTTGGTTGGAATGACCATTTTTGCAACAAAAACAATAGTCGTAGGCTGAAATTGCAAGGTTTGAAAGTCGCGGATCAATCCTGACAGTGCGACTATAGTCGTGGGACCAAAACTTCAAAAAACTCAAGTCATACTTTTTGATATCAAGTTTGAAATTCAACTAACTAAGCTACTCAATCCATTCGTAATTTTAAGATAAATATATATTTTATATAACATTTAATGATATATATATATATATATATATATATATAGGATTATTTTTGAATACAAATCTCCCTTAAAATATAAATCCCTCTTAAAATACAAACTGTGTGCATGTAAGTATGTTAATGTGTGCACGAGCTAATCTAAGATATTGTTGGCAGTGTGCCCAGTGTGCATGTACGTATGTTAATGTGTGCACGAACTTTGATGGATGGTTGTAATTTTTTTTCCTACGCGCTGTGTGCATGTAAGTATGTTAATGTGTGCACGACCTAATCCAGAAATTGTTGGCCGTGCATCCTGTGTACATGTAAGTATGTTAATGTGTGCACGAGCTCAAATTTGTATTTTAAGGGGTTTGTATTTGAATGCAACCCCCCTCCCTCTCTCTCTCTCTCTCTCTCTCTCTCTCTCTCTCTCTATATATATATATATATATAGGGGTGGGGGGAGTAGCGTCAGCTGCCCCCATAGTGGCTCTGCGCCTGGTTCCTATGCACCAGATAAAAAATTCCATAATTTGTCGGGCTAAGTTCACTAGTTATTTGGAAGAAAAGACTAAGTTCTAAATTTGACAGCAGCATTGTAGAGATTATGCTCAAAGTGGGCAGATTCCTTGTGCGCATTGACATTTGACGCTGTTTTCAGCTACTGCTGAGCTATTGAGTTACTATAATTTATTTCTTACATACTTTGTCAGGCCGCAAGCAGGGGACCCTTAAGGTTAAAGATTAACCTTTTGAGAGAAAAGAAATTTTACAATTTGGACAAAATGATAGGGATTGAGGTTGATATTATATTATCCACCATCAGACACTCGATACGAACTTGATCGAGCCTATAATTTATCTTATATTTAGTAACAATTATCAATTATTTCCTAAACCAGAAGATACTAATACTGAAGTAGTACTACACTGTGACATATCTTTATTAGTTGACGTTTTCTTTAGTTGTTATTTTTTTGAATTTATTTGTTTTCATTAATATATGACTCTGTCACCTGGAGTTAAATCAGCAAAATTGGGGCAGGTATGTCGATTAACCAAGTCTTTATATGGCTTGAAGCAGGCTAGTCGGCAGTGGAATGTGAAACTAACAACTGAGTTATTATCTCAAGGTTTTAAACAAGCATCTTCAGATCATTCATTATTCACTAAAGGGTCTGGTTGTTTATTGCTCTTTTGGTTTATGTGGATGATATCGTGGTAGCTAGTGGTAATCTTGAAGTAATCCAGGGAGTTAAGGCTCATTTAGACTCAACCTTTCGAAATAAGGATTTGGGTCCTTTGAAGTTTTTTCTTTTCAAGGTTTGGATCGGAGGTTGCTCGGAGTCGTTATGGAATTAATCTCTCCCAAAGG